CCCTTTGGGTCAAACAACACTTTCACAGGGGTTGCCTAAGACCCTCTGAAAACACAGATATTTACATTAGGATTCATAACAGTATGAAGTAGCAATGAAAATTTTATGGTTGGAGTCAGCACAGCATGAGGAACTGTGTTAAGGGGGCGTGACACAGTAAGAGAATCCAAGAAAGATTTTTCTCCTGGTACACTTGGAGCTACAAAGGTTAAGTTTGGCCTAAAGATGTTCTCGAGCAGAAATGCTACCCCATGTTTAAATGAAGAAAAAAATTAAAAACATTTAGTAAAGTTAATAGTGGCTAAACTTCTAAATCTGTGCTTGTGAAATTCAATGCTTCAATCTGCTAATTTGCCAAGGCATGATTTACTCACAGTTCATAAACACATTTAAGTGTTCAGTAGGGAACACACAATCTTCTCAAAATTTGTGGGAGATTGAAATATCAAATCCTTCAGTGTAGAGGATGAAAAAGTCACGATGCATACACATCGTACACACAGTGTTTTATAATTATATTTATGCACATATAATATGCAATACATTATAATATGTTATATACAATACTATGTAATACTAAATCTATTTGCTTGTTTGAGTTTTCTGAGAAATGATCTTACTATGTAGCTCTGGCTGTCCTGGAACTTACTCTGTAGACCAGGTTGGCCTCCGACTTAGAGATCCACCTGCTGATCTGAGGTGCGGAGATTAAAGGTGTGCGCCACCATGCCCAGCTTATGATGCATATTTTTTAAACGGACATTAGTGAAAGACAGCTGGCACACACCAAAACCAGAACCAGAAGTGATGTCTTCTGGTGCGGGAGAATTGTCTGTAATCTGTCAATCATGTTTTAAATAAATGCTGATTGGCTTGTTAGGAGGTATAGGCAGGAAAACTAGACAGAAAGTGGAAATGATGCAAGGAGAGCAGGAGACTTCTGGGAGGAGGAAGTTGATTCTTCCCTCTCCTGCCCAGATCACCAGGTGTAGATGGGAAAACCAGACAGGAAGTGGAAATGATGCAAGGAGAGCAGGAAAATTCTGGGAAGGAGGAAGTTGATTCCTCCCACTCCTGCCCAGACCACCAAAGCAGCAGGATGTGAGCTGCCCCACTGAAAAAGGTACTGAGCCACATGGCTAACATAGATCAGAAAAATGGGTTAATCAAGATGTGAGAGTTAGCCAGTAAGAAGCCTGACCTAATGGGCCAATCAGCATTATAACTTATTGAGATCTCTGTGTGGTTGATTTTGTCTGGGACTTGTGGCAGTGGGGAACTGGGTGGGACAGATACCCAAACAAGCAAGGCCCCTCAAAAATGGGTTAATCAAGATGTGAGAGTTAGCCAGTAAGAAGCCTGACCTAATGGGCCAATCAGCATTATAACTTATAGAGATCTCAGTGTGGTTTTTCTCTGGGACTAAACAGCTGGGGGGGCTGGGCAGGATAGAAAATCTACACAAGCAGGCCCAGCCTTTTCTTCTGCAGTCGTCCTTCCTGTTGGGGGTTCCTTATCTTTAGATGTGGCAGGGAGATGGGTCCAGCACCTTTGGTGGAAGAGCTGACAGCTGTTTCCAGGGCTGGAGCTCTTTAGAAAGCTGTAAGCTCCAGAACTTGTGGGTTAACATAGACAAATGAAATTCGAGCAGTTAGCGTCTAAGGTGAAAGGTCTGACTTTATGGGAAGTTTCAAGGCAGGCAATGGGGACTTTTCCCCCAATCACTAAAGCAATATATAGTTATTGTATAGAGTTTGGGAACTTTAGATGAGCCAAGGTCAGAATCGCTGGGGTGGGGTCGATGGCTCAGTGGGCAAAATGCTTACTGTGCAAGTCTGAGAGTCTGAGAGTCTGAGTTCAGATCTTTAGCTTCCATGTGAAATCCTGTGCATGTCAGCTCACGCCTACAATGCTAGGAAGTGAGGTAGAGGGCTGGCAGAGGCAGGCCAGTTCTTAGTTTAGACAGAACAGTGAGCACTGGGTTCAGTAAGAGACACTGTGCAAAGCAATAGAATAAGTAATTCTTATGGGACTCTCTTCACCCAAATGTACAGGTAGAGTCACCTACACACATGTGGACACACATGCATAAAACACACACACACACACACACACACACACAATGTTTTTTAAATCAAAATAAAATTGCGTCCAATCCTGTCAATCAAACACAATTGCTATTATATTAATACACATCACATCTTTCCTCCTATATAAGTGGCCAATTTTCTTTTATAAGGCATCATTGCTAGTCAACGTGCTGTTATAATCTGCTTCTTTGCTTTAAAATTTATTCTGAAGCTTTTTGGAAGGATATTTCTGGGAAAAGAGGGTTTAAGATCATCGGGAGCAGAGAAAGAACTAGAAAGAGGGAAAATGGAAGCAAAGACACAGCAAAGCAAAGGCCTCTAACAGTGTTCTCCGCCAGTGGGGAACTTGAATGCGGGAACGTTGTGGGATCTAGATTTCATTGTTTTTATAGTGAAAAGATCAAATTCCAGAGGTGTATATATATATATGCACCTAGAACCAAGGACCTTGTTCCTACAAGCTGAGCAACTTTGCATGTGCTTCTGAACGTCTTTGAGTCAAGAAAATTGAGTTAGTATAGGTGCGTCCCAGGTGCTTCATATATGGCTTCTTATCCTGATGATAACATTGCGGGGAAGGGATTATTAACTATAATTTTCACACGCATCCAAGGTAAGGCCACAGGGCTAATCTTCGCAGCACGTGGCAGAGCCAACACCCACACCCAGATCTCATCTCAGTCCCTGTCCTGTTGGTGCTTCTCGCCCCTCACATGTGACACGGGATCTGCTGCTCCATTTTCTTCTCCTCTCACAGTGTGTCAGGAAGATGGATGACCCATCTCAAACAGACCCAATTTCAAGCCGTCCACTTTAGCACACACTTGGGTCATCTGCCCACTCCGTACATTACATGAGAGTGAGTTCTCAGAGCGGCGCATCTAGGATGGCGGGGTATGAGTTTCATCTCTTCACCCTATCATTTCTCCTGTTTGCTCCTCCGTGAAAGTTCATGTCAGCCCGTGTGTTGCTGACAGGCCTAAAACCCCAGCAAAGTTCCAGCACAGGCAGCTGTAACATGGACAAAATAAGCCACTTTCCTCACGGTGTCCAGACGCTTTGAAGAAATGGAGGATGGCTTCTAAAAGTCGCTTTGGATAAATAAAACTCGAGCTTGCACCTTTCCAGATGTCCAGCCAGGAAGCCCCAGGTGCGAGTGAATCAGCAGACAGAGTCCTCTCGTCGGAGACAGCACAAGGCCCAGTGTCCACAGGCGGCTGGCCAGTGGCTGCGCTCTTGGCCGTGCTTAGCCTCAGATGTGGCCCGGCTGAGGCTGATTCAGGGAGGAACGCTGCCTCTCACTGAGTCATGAGCCCATCTTGGAACTTTGCAGGGTTCGGCTTAGGTAACTTGCCCAGTGTTCGTGGTTTACCTTCGCCAGCTGACAGC